ACAAAGGCAATCTTCACTAAATGGACGCGTCTTTGGTTCCTTACCCACTGAGTCAACGCTTCCCTTAACAGGAAGATACAAGCAGGCAAAGTGCGTCAAGCCTGCTTGTAAACTCGGAAGTATTTTTTATCTAATATATGATTGTAAATATTCGCAAAAGCCAAGATATAAAGCAGGAGGAAAAATATAAAGGGTGCTTAAGCCAAATTTGCAGTCACGCAGCAAAATAAATCGTTGCTTGGACCCGGTGTTCTCTGTTAATATAGGCTGAATACAAAGGGACAGGAATCAGCAAAATTTATAACTGGGAAAGTGTCTGTTTTCAAAGAAGGTTACGCAATGATACACACATTACTGCGTATTGGGTGCCCCCTAAACTAGCCGCGTGATAGATGAGCCGGACTAACACATGACCAGATCGAGGCACGACGGACGTTATTCGGATTGGGCTCCTACAAAAAGCGCCGAAAGTTGAGAGGCGGCGTGGTAGCACGCCTAGTTGCAGACTCACGCCGCACCGGCCACACCCGCCCCCGGCCTTTTTGACTTTGTGCAGTAGATTCACCTCAAGTCTACTATCACTTAATTCATGCCCAGGTCATCGGCCCTGCACTATCATCCAGGGCCTCATCGAAATCGACGGTCGAACTGTCACACCGTATTTAGAACGCTTAATAGTTTCGGCTAACAGCTGGTAACTGTTCGTTAGAACTTTCATAAAAGTTTTAGGGCTACCGAAAGATGTATGGGGTGTTTAGTTAGAGGATAAGGTCTACATTATGTGGTATTTCACATTACTTGCTTGATGCAGGTGGTGAAAAGAGCAATGACGACTGAAACAGCGATCAGTGAAACCAACTAGATCGCTGTTGGCAAAGCCAGAAGAATGGCTCGCAAGTCTCAAACGCCTCCGACCAAAAAAGTTAACGCCCAACCCCCTTCAATAGGCCTGCGCTGACAACAAACGTTTCACGCACGAAGTGACCCGGTCAATCATCTCCGGATTCAATGCAACAGCAAAGCGACAACTCCATCCACTGCCTCCACAAACGCTCCTATCGCTACCCCAGCACCAACGGCTACGGCGTCCACGACAAGGGAACCACAGCAGACGCGTCTTCGTCGCGTTCCCACCCGCCCTCACGGCGGGCCAATTCTGCTACACAAATCTACCTACGGTGGATATATCTCCCCTCTTCTCCATCTCTGTTTTTCATGACGGAGCAGCCTCTCCCGACCACGCTGCTCCTCCTCCTCCTC